ATCTGGTTTGTTTTAACCATGAGATTTTTATTTTTATAAATAACCTTTTTTTATTTTTTATGCCCATAGAATAATTTTTAATTCTGTTATGCAGTTTAAACCTAATATGAGTTTAAACTCTCATCACACATTGCAGTTAGCAAAGACTAGCTACACAAAAAAAAACCATACATTTACATATTTTAGGTGAATTAAATTAGAGTGAGGAGCATTAAGGAGTACAGTATCTAGATCAAAGAGTAAATCAGTGTCATTGGTTCTGTGATTTCCCTATATTTAAAATAACTCTTTAAGTTTAAATAGGTAGGATACTCATTTGTTTGTTTTCTTATTGGCCTTTAGAACATATATCGATGTTACAGTCTTCTTGTCTTCAGTGTTATAGGGACGGTGCAGTGGCTCTGTGGCTGGAAGGTTGCCGTTCGTATCCTGTGGCCGGCAGAGGAATCCTACTCCGTTGGGCCCCTGAACAAAGCCCTTAATGCCATCTAAATTTCATAGCTTGTTTTCATGTCTGAGACCATGGCCATCTGAGGTATCTGTGGCACTGTGCCTTGAATTGTAATGACTCACAGACCAATTCAGCTGCCCTGCTGGCTCAGGTAGGGATGTGAAATATTGATGGAAAGGATAGAAAGGGTTAAAGTTCTGGAGCTACCTCAGAAGGGTCAGTCACTTTGAATCAGGCTCTTCTTGTCTGCAGGATTACTTTTTCCTGCAGATAGTAAGTTTGATCGCAGGGCAGAGACTTAACTGTCTATATTGATCTGTGTATGCTGTTGAAATTGTTCTCAGGATAGCTGTATGTGTTGCCAGACCTTTTATCCAATCAATGGCTATCAGAATTAAGCTAGCAGTCTCACTTTGTGTATTGAGCTGTGTGAATCGTTTTAATTGGCTTACCTCGTGTTGTAGGCATCATTTACTGTAAAACCCTTTTGGCCAGAAATGTAGTTGAAAGGCTTTGATTGAAACTTACAACTACCCTTTCTTAACCTTAGAAGGTTTTTTTCATTGTCCTAGCCAAATGTTATTCTAGCAGTACCGTTCATTATAAAAAAGTTTTTTTTTTTTACCGTCAAAAATGTCAAAGGAATAATCAGCTTGTGGTAAGACATTTGTGGCCTCCAGTCATTGTTAAGTTGGGAACTGTTAATTTTTTTTTCCCCATCTCCTTTGTTTTTAGCATCTGTTTTTTTGTGTTTTTTATATTCTGGCTGGACATAATTAGAAACTGGAGTCTTTTCACACTTCTGCAAGAGGTTGTCAAGTAGAATTGCTAGTTGCTAGGCCAAGGCAAATCTGGGGGTGAGTTTATCTCTGTCTGTCAATGGCTTTCTGAATTTTCTTATAATACTAGCTGTTTGTTTTGTGTACTATACATCAAACTACCAACAGTAAAATAGCTTGACCTTACACATCAGCTTGATTATTCTTTATTATTATCAGTAATGAAGCTGAGGTATTTATCCAAACCTATGTCTGTTTGTTCCCATTTTAACTGAAGCAATCTGGGTGAAAAAAGTAGCACAACAGCGTGACCGCAATGCCCCTTCCTCGAGGATTTGAACCTGCAGTCTTCCTCTTATAGGCCCAGAGACCTATAACCACTAACGCACTCCCAACTAAAGAATCAACCAATCTCCTGCCTCAGAAAAAGGCATTGTATTGCGTGGGGCAACCTTTGAAAGTTTTTTATTTTATTCATCCATTTAGCTTGTGTTTAAAATACTAATGCAAACCAGGAAGCTTTCATTTCTGGTATAATGAAGGGCATGGCACTTGCAATTGAATACAAACCAGTATGTTATTCATGGGGTAATTACAAATTTTTCCTGCTAAAAGCCTGAAGCACTGCAGTGCATATGGTCAAGCTAATCTCTAGGAGAGGAAAGTGATAGCCTCATTAATGCTCAATGCAGGTAGTGTTGAATCCTAATTTAGCATTTTCATCTTGAGCATCATTTCAGTGAGTGAGAGAGAGAGAGAACAGTGTACCAGAAGGTATTATCCAGTTGACGCTTTGTGTTTAATGTTCACAGCTGCTTTGAGTCATTACTACTTAAATTTGTATCCGGGCATAAAAATCATTTTGCATTTTTCTGTGCTCCTTGTCATTCTTAGATTCATGGAAAGGGAAAGTGATGTGCAATGTAGTTGGACTGCAATTTTCCACCTGCCTGCTTTTCTTTATTGTGTATTATACTGGCCAGGCGGTCGGGAGATGGTTTTCAAAATCCAAGCTGAGGCTCTGTGATCCTGAAAAAAAGTGTATAGCTACTATGTAAAGTGAATTTTAAAGACTATTTACACTTGATTTATAATAAGACTTTGTAGAAGACTGCTCTTTTTTCATTTTAATTTTATGTACTGATGTTCGCACAGGAGAAGCTTGAAGTGCAGAAGTAAAAGACACGCAGTCTTATTTCTTATTGGTCTCAATACAGCTTTATGACTCGTGTAACCATGACCTGTCCCCTGCTGCTTTGAAACAGTGGCATCCTTTGAAAGGGCTTTGCTCAGTCATGCAGAGGTTGGCTTCTTATGTTGTTCGTTTCCTTTTCTGAAAAAGGTACTGTTGTGCTGTGTCTTTTTCTGTAGTTACTGCGACACAATATGTCTGTTTTGTTGATTGAAGAAGGATAAGAAAAGTTCAGCCTTAGCATTAATGTAACTCCTGAAACAAGTATTTTCCAGTCATTCAGACCATAGTCTTACATGAGTTGCATCAGATAAAGGTATTGCTCAATTCCTTCATATGCAGTGATTACTTCGAAGGCAAATATTGCCATGGAAGCTGGGTGTTTTTGTGTATATTTTGTGTTAGGGTGTATAGGAAATATATACACACAGTCATATGTAAGTTACAATGCGAAGGTGAATATTCTTAACCAAAATATTAATTGATTCACTTATATGGGGGTTTTGTGAAAATCTTTGGTTTCAGGTTCTTACTGTTAAATGAAGCATGTTTTCTGGTCTAAATAGATTGTAGAGTTTGACCTCATGACACAGGTGTGTATCTGGTAAAAAAAAAAAAAGAATTCGAATTTGACTGTGACAACTGCTTGCCTTTGGCACTTCAGCAACATACATTACAATAAAAAACTGTCTATTTGAGAAAGTCTTTATTACTTTTTTTATCGCTTATGCATCAATAAGCTCTCGTAATATTAAACAGATGGTCCAAGTTAATAAGCTGAGTGTTTTGACCTTATGCTTCTAATTTAAAATTGATAGCTTTAGTTTAGTATTTTTAGCTATCTTCTCATGACAGCTACAGAATATTGTCCTTTTGATACACCCTGTTGTACTAAAGTCCTGTATTGCTGTTATACAGATACACACCTTCATTCATATTAGAAATAAGATACTTCCTTGGCCTGATATGTAGCAGAGGCCGACTAAAACATTTTTGATGGTTGTTTCTAAAATATGAGAGTTAAGTATTACCAGGCAAATAATACTGTAACGCATACAGCCGACATTAGAGATTGTGCGAGCCGGCTTACCAGCGCGGTGAAGTCACGGATGGGAGGTTTCCCTTTAGCTCAACTGGCTGGGTCCCTGTTGAGTGACGCCGGAGGCCCGGGTTCGAGTCCCGAGCAGTGGGGAGCCGACCTTAGGCGGCAGTGGCGAGGGCGTATACCCCCGTGAACCTCAGAGCGCTATAATACCAACCAAACAGAAACTGCAGTTATGGCAGTGTAACTGGCACTAGGGCAGTATGGCGGCATGATGGTTAGCACAGATGTCTCGCAGCTCAAATGTCCCAGATTTGATTCTTGCCAGTGGAGTCTTATGTTTGACATTTGTGTGTTTCCCCGTGGGTTTTCTGTAGTAACACAGTGTGAACACTTTCTGTCCTGGTTAACTGGTATCTCTAAATTGTCTCCTGTTTGCGTGTGAGAGCAAGTCATTGTGTTTGCCCTGTGACTGATTGGCATCTTATCCAGGGAATACTCTGCATTGCACCTTACCTGTTTTGGGTTTGGCTCAGTCTTACCAGGACACTGTATCGTTTCAATAAGGGGTTATTGAAATTGAATGAATGGATAGATAAACAGAACTAGAATTAGATTTATTTCAGGTTAAGGAGCAATTGGCCCTTCACCCAAAATAAAAGTAATTCTAGTTCAATTAAGTGACAATTGGCCCTTTAAGCGACTGTCTTGGAGGTTTGGAGTGCCTTTACCCTCTTGTGCTGCCTTTTTTCAAACGCAAAACTGCTTGGTGTGATAATAGTGAATGGATTTGAAAATGAAACCTGAATGAACCAGCTGCATGTGGTGGAAATAAAATTATCTGTGCGAAGAACAGCCGAGAAAGGCTTTAACCTTTGAGCCTAATGTGCAAGATAGTTTTATGGTCAACTGAACCAATGTAAATGATGGAAAACGCAGCACCGCCGAGTAGCTTGTCCTGCTCATTGCCGTTATATGAAGAGGAGATGTGCTGCTGTGTTATAAATTAGATCCCCTGAAGTGCCACATGATGGGATTAAAGGTTAAAATACTTTTTCAAGCAATACAAAAGCAATCTGCTGGATGAGATTGCTCTTCTAGGTGCCTTGGATATTAGTACAAAATGTCAAATGCTGCGCTTAATCTTGAGCTTTTTATCCCATCTGTCTCCAGTAATCAGGCAGACCCCTGAAGATCATAAAGATATCAGCTTTTTTTTGGGGGGGCGACACGGTGTCAGCTATCTCTAACAAAACAAGGGGTGTACAGACAAATAGCTTTGTGTATCAATTCAGTTTGTATTTAGGTTAAACATACAGGGTTAATAACTACTCTCCTCTGTGACCTGAATCCTCCTGGTGGGAAAATCATTATTCACATCATACATATCAAATCAATGTGGTTTTCCCTCATCTGCTTATACACAAAAATACATCAGGAGTTGTTTTCCATGAGTTTTGTGATAGAGCTCTCGGCTGGGTACAGTAATCTATTGTACTACAGCTGCATGTTTTATAATGGTCAGCCTCTCTGATGCCAATATCATGACAAGTGACTGAAATGTCCTTTGAGAAAAAGAGAGCCGGAATGAGCTGTGCTAATAAAAATGCTTCTGCTGGCTGAGCTTTAATAATTGGGGAGGCCCAGTAACACTGCTTTCCTCTGCTTCTGTGCATGAAGGTTTGGTTTTCTGTTTGTTTCCTGACCTTTGGGTTGTCACCGAACTGTCATTCAATCTCAAAGGCCAAAGGCTGGTCCTGAAATTAAAACAAATAAGCAGATCAGATTCTGGGAGATGTTCCCTGAGTTTGTGTTCTTGCAGAGCACTCAGAAAACCAAAACAACTTTGCATCCATGTTTTGTGTCACTGTTTACTGCCACTGAGATATTAGGTTTTGGGACCAGCGGTATGTTAGTAGCAGCCAGCCTGCTGGCTTTCTTTTTGAAGCTTTAAAGATTAAACAGAAGGCTCAGAGCGTTTTTGCTGCTCAAAGCCCATTTTCATGAGGTCGTTAAATAGAGAATAATAGTGCGAATAACAGACCCCAGGATTTGTTAAGAAAGAACTTTGACCGGAACCTCATTCCAGTAACTACTATGGCTCACTGTAGCCGATTGCAAAGAAGAGCTAAAGAGATGTGGTGAGGTCAAACGGCCTTTCCTAGTGTTCCTTTTTAAGATTTTGCTTCACCAGGGGGTTGTTGTAAACCTCGTGGTTCTTGTGATTTATGCTCCCCAATTGTCCCATCTTGCAATAACTGTGCTGTCTGTTCTGCATTCACTGCACAGTCGGGCAGCCCTTTGCCCTCACAGCAGTGCTCAGCCCTTGGGTGACAGAACAAGCCTAGTGTGTGTTTTCAGAATGCAAATCATTGCAAACATAACATTACAGGAGTAGTTAGAATGCCGAATCGCGTTCATTTTGTCTTCTGGGCCTGATGTATTAATTAGAAACATTATATCCATTTAAATTAATTTACTTTATACATCAATTTAATGTAGAGATATTTTTTGAGGTATTGTATCAGATATCCCTTTTTATATGTAGAAATGTAAATACATGTTATTGGTATTAACTTTCTCTCTTAATATCCAGTAAGTGTAAACTGTTCTGATATCTTTAATTCTAATTCTTTCTTCAGGAAAGTACTGTCTATTACCATCTAAAGAAGTCTCTTTTAAGTTTCATCTCCACAAGTTTAAGGTTGCTGCTGGAAGCTTTGATTAAAACATCATTATAGCTCATTCTCCCTATTCTAGCAGGTTTAGAGGGTGTTGACGATACTTGTGACTCAATACGGGTACATCTGGGGAGAAAAATGTAAGAAATAGTTTATTCCCTAAAGACTCAGTAATTCAGTGTCAAGTGTTAATTTAGAAATGTGGTTGGTGATTATTTGTATATGAGAATAAATTACAAGCGCTAAGCAATGAGGACATGCAGGTTTTCTGCCTTGCTGAAGCATGAGCTACTTGGCAAAAATAAATTCCGATATTAATAACCAAGTTGAAAGGACGTTTTGTACCAGCTGCTTTTCAGTTTGAGCAGTAGCATGAGCTGATTGGAGACTGTTAAACGCTTAAAGTTATTTGCCAGGATTAGTAGCAGATTTGGTCTTATGATTGAAAGCGTTAAGCATTGCTGGGCAATTGTTCTTTCAGGTGTTTGTCTTGAATGCATACAAAATGAGATTGTGGGATATTTGATCTTTCTACGTTTATCTGTGGGTTGATCTGACAATTTACTGTATGTGTTTAATTATCTACTGCATAATTACATAAAAATAACGAATTTGCTCACTGCAAAACAAGTAGGATACAGATGAAGATAAAGACAATGCTCTTCATTGAGTTTCTCTGTAACCCCTGGAATATTAATGTTTAACAACTGTCAATTACTGTCATAAAATATTAGTTCACATAAATGAAAGAAAGGCTTTATGAGGAATAAAAGATTGCCACTTGACTGCTCATATTCTCATGTTGTACTTTATATAACTGTTTTATAGCTTCTAAGCTACTGTAGTTCTTCCTTTTTTAAACTAATTTATGTAACAAGTCACTCAGTGATGGTAAATGACCCACAAAGACTGTTTAACCTGGGGGCATACACATCAGTGGTTAACCTCCCCCTTCTTCAGTTTTTCCAAAGCATCAGCTGACATTCAGAATTGCAGCTATATTGGTGGCACGGGACTTAAATTGAATGAAATGCTTAGAAAATGGATGGATGGTGGCAAAGGACATCAGAAGACCCTGAACGATAAAGAATGTTTGTATTTTCCCAAATAGCTTAAATCAGCCAGAAAACACGTACTGTGTGCTAAATTCTGTTTCACCCCCACTTCACTAAAAATGGTTTAAACAAAGCAATTAAAATATGGTTCCTGCACATGGAATTCTTGTCTTACTGTTTGATCCTACATCACTGCATGGTTCGACGTACTTTAATGCATTCGCTCAACCTCTCTGCCCGAGTAAAAAAAAATCTGATGAAATAACAACCTATCCTTGTTATTTCATTACTGTCCTCATTACCGAAAGAAGAATGTATAAACATTTAAGACCTGTTGTCTCCTATTAATGCCATAGCAGTTCTGAAGGGGACGTTGACTGAAAACAGTTCTGGATTTTTGCTGAGGTTTTCATTGTGATTTTCTAGATAGCTGGTAGACTTACAGCAGTCATGAAGCTGGTTACCCCTCATGCATAGACCCCTGACCTTATTTTTCTGCCAAGGTCATTGTGTGAGGCAGGATTTTGTCCCATTAAAGGGAGAAACAACTCTGGCAGGGTGCCTACAGTGGCTCGTCTCTGCTTTTGTGTGACAGCCCTGATCCACCTCGAATTGCAAGCGCTGACTGTGTTTGAAGGCTGTCATGACATATTAAAATGCCTGCCAGTGTCATGGCAGACTTCCTCTGCAGGGAGAGTCGTCTTCTTTAAAAGAGAGAGCGCGGCACTTTGAATTTTTGTGTTTGTGAAAAAGATACACTCAATAATATCATGGTTTTATATTCCCTGAGTACATAATATTTGAAACCATATTGTTTTAATATTTCTGATAATTTGCAGCATTAAGTACAAGATAAATATTTTTGGGCAATATAGACCCATGGCCAGACTTGTTTTTTCTTGTTTTAAAAATTAAGTCTTGGTGTTTCCTTGGCCAGGAAACCGCAGAATTGATGGCCTTTTTTACTTTGCGATGTTGGGACAAGGTTTTGAATGTTCATGGACAGTGGTGAGATTCAGTGGTGAGTTCAGCCTTCTTTTGTGTTCTGCAGTACAATTTTCTTAATGGGGTAAAAGTTTAAACATTTCCTTGACACTTGAATGTTCTTTGGTTCTTTGTCCGTAATGATAGCCCTCAGTCAGTTTCTTGTATGGCTCAATTCTTCATTGTAATTAACATGAAGGATATAGAAAGCTTCCAACTTTACCCTGTGCTGCATAAACATTGCAATTACTATACTGAACAAAGACATCCTCTAGAAAACAAAGTATGACCTACTGCAAGGCATGTTAGATGAAATTGTACACAAACAAGTACGTTTGTTCTCTTAGAATCCAGCTCCTCCAACAGGATCTGTTTCTGACGGGATCATGCAAAAGGAGTCTGTAATCACGATTACCTTGGTTGTCTCAGTTGTCTTTGTGCCAGCAGCTATAGTATATCACTCCGTAACCCACTGAAGCAAGGCAGGTGTGAGCCTGGCTGGTACCTGGATGGGAGACATCCTGGGAAAGCTAAGGTTGCTGATGGAAGAGGTGTTAGTGGGGCCAGTAGGGGGCGCTCACCCTGCGTTCTGTGTAGGTTCTAAGTGATGGGGACACTATTCTGTAAAAAAGACATTGTCCTTCAGATAAGGCATAAAACAGAGGTCCTAACTCTCCATGATCATTAAAAATCCCAGAGCATTTCTCGAAAAAGTGTAGGGGACCTTAACCCTGGTGTCCTGACCAAATTCCCCCCCGGCCTTTACCAATCAGGACCTCCTTATAATCACCATCATTGAATTGGCTTCATCACACTGTTCTCCTCCGCACTGAAAGCTGATGTGTGGTGAGAGTACGGGTGCACTTTGGCTGCTGTCTCATCATCCAGGTGGGGGCTACACATTGCTGGTGGTGGAGGGGAGTCCCCATTACCTGTCCAGCTATTTCAGTGGTGTGTGTATCTGTAAGTATACTATAGAACTGTAAAGAATCATTATTATTCTGTGCAGCATCTGCTGTCATTGACAAAATGCATTAATAAATTAAGTAGCATATATAAGTGTGTGTGTATGAAAGAGAGAGACGGGGTCGTTGTGTCTCCCTTTCTGTCTCCGATTCTCCCGTTGTTTCCTGCAAAGCAGGTTCACAATGGCTGGGTGGGATGGGAGGAAGTGGAAAGTTCCTTTTGTCCGCCCCACCTCTCCTCCTCTTGGACAGGCTGTCGTCAGGGGGGAATGGGAGGATTTCCCCTCATACGAAAACAAGAATATAAACTACACAACCTAAAAATAAAGCAGTTATCTATTTTAGGACTACAGTGTCTGTCGCTGCCCATTTTGCTCGGATTTACCAAATAAAGCCAAAAGGTTGATGGTGTAAAATAATAAGCATTTATTTCCATACAGCTTGTAACGGTTTCTTTACTGAATAGGACACATGAGCCTTAAAAGCGAATCAATATGTAAATTAATCCTACAGGTGTACATTGAAACTCAATTCAGTACTGCTTCGTGCATCTAGGAGGTACTGTAGATGTGTATAATCTGTGTTCGTCATCGGGATTCAGAAGAACACAGTGCTGAAATTTCCGCCGGTAAATTCTATTCAGTGACCAGCTGAAATGATCGAGCAGTCGAAGATCCACGCTCGAGTTATTTTCGGTGTTTTCCGATGACTGTACCCGAAACAATTCTGCAAGTGACTTGGTTTGCAGGCTTTGTGTACTGTGTTCTTTGGAAAATAGTGATTTTTTTGTTTGTTTTTAGGTGTGGGGGTGGACGCCAGTGAAACTTCTTTCCTTGACAATGGATAAGGGAAATGCCAAGGCATCACACCAGTGCAAAAGCTGCGGTTATTAAAATAAGGAGCGACGCCCCCACACACGCTTCTGTTTTTCCTTAATCCCCTCCCCAGTCACTTCCATCTCATTCAGCCCATGAGTCAGTTTGTCACCCATGTTAATCCCTCCCAATCCACAGACTCCCCACACACTTTTCCAAGGTGTCGGGCAGGAGGCCGAGAAGAATGATGCCACCGGCACCAGGCACAACTGCTTTGCGCCCCCGGGCCGTACAGAGGCCTTTCTGGTGCGAGGCCAGTAACAACATCTTTCTCTTATTTTTAATCTGATTTATGATGGCAGCAAATTCTTTAAAAAAAAAAACACAGCAGGCTGCTATTTTTAGAGGAGGGGGTTTATATGGCTTTTAATTGTCACCGCTGGGCCTGAAAGGAAGACGGCAAGAATTTGGTCGAAGGCATCTCCCTGTCATCTGCGCCACATGCCAAAAAAGGAGAGAGTATTGTAAATTATGAAGCAGTTGGTAAAACCGCTATAGGGATGTGTTAAAGGTAGATTACTGGTAGGATCAGATAATCCCCAGTGTTCGTAGCCAGCAACTTTCCAGAGAACTAGCGGTTTTGAATTTCCTTGTTAGACGTCACTTCTCAGAAGCATGATGTTTCTGAGTCAGTGGTGTTTCTTTTCTCGTTTGTCCAATTTAGCCGTCAGTATTTGGCTTGCTGTCTGCGGGAGCCACCTGTAACTCCAAGCAAAAACTCTCCCAGTCAGTCCCTTAAAAAAAAACTTTAAAAATATTTTCTTGTTCTGAAGCTCTTTTAATAATCACTGTTTTACTTTACTAGCAATTGAAGATCTTTTTTTTTTGGTGTTCTGGCAAGCTGTTTTTTAGCTGACGTCAATGTGATGAGAGCCATCTTCCTGATATCCCTTTGCTCTTTGCTAACTTCCATTGGTGTCATTTGGAATATAGTTCCACCATCCACACGTGTTTACTCCATGCTGTGGAAGAAGTTTAAAGTGTTTCTTTAAAGTTTGCCTAGAGTTTTATATAGACTTTTTCTGCTTTTGAAGCTGAATGAATCAGTGCATAAGTGAATCACTGAATGAAACATACATAAGTTTCACAGTTCTTTCTTTTTCCAAGCTATGCTGTCTAAGTTATTTGGAGTTTCTTGTTGCCCCTGTGTGTTTTGTGTACCCTGCCTTGGACTGACATCCTGCATCCTGACCTGTGCCTCCAGGATAGGTTCTGCATTGCCACATCCCTGAACAGAATTAAACTGCTTTCTGATAAGGAATGGATTTGGTATTTGGGATGTTTTTTTAATTGTACACTTTAGGTACAATAATTTTTGCGTAAAAACAGCTGGGTTCTCTGCCTTAAGAGTTGTAAAAAAATTGAATGCAAGCCTTTTTCAAATTTGTGAGAAAAAACATCACTAGAGTAAAACTTTTTGTGTTGTTTCTGCGAGTTGTTTAAGTTGGTTAACCAGACTGTAAGAAAACTGGCACGTCGCCATTCTGGAATAGTTGGATTTAATTATTTTATTTTTTTACTTCAGTGGGTAGTCTAAGAAAATTATATATGCTTCCATCTGTCGCATGTAATTGTGGTGAAATAGGCACAGTTTTCTTTTATTTTAAGTGCCTTTTCTCGGTCTTCTTTTGGCAAAGAAGTGGTCATTTGAAGACGTGGTGTTTTTTTATCCTATTAGCCCGTGTAAAATCTAGATAAACAGGGAGGACTTTTGATCGCATATTGATAGTGACTGACAGCCTCACTGCAGTCCTGCAGTATTGTAAGTTTCCTGTTAAGACTACAAATAAAGCATTTGGTGCTCCATATAAATCATCTTGTTCAATTTCATGAAAAGTGTCTTGAATTTATTTCTGATTGTGTGCTTTGTTTTGTTCCCCTGCATTTCTCCGAAGTTACTTAATTGTATTTATCCAATAGCTTCAATGGCTGAGGCTCTCCATTTTTTTGCATTAGCAATGGCCAGTGCTGAGTCCAGTTGGTTTAAGAGCTGTTCATTTCAGATAGCTCAAGTTTTGTTTGGTATGTTAGAGACACTGAAGTGTTGTAGACTAAAAAGCAATGATAAGGAGATCAGATGGGCCGTTAATGTCTCCAAAATAAGTCTCCTGTCCCCGACAGCTAATGAAAAAGGCCTGGTAAAAAGCTATTTAAGTTGTGTAATTTCTCTTGAAGAGTAATGCTTTATGAAGTAATTCAGGGCCAGATAATTAGAGCTGGAGTATAGCACTGTAATGGGTAATCATCGGTATCATTGCCTGTCCTTGGTTTGTGTTTGAATTTTAAAAGCATTTTAAATAATTTAAGTTGGCACGGTCATATTGAAGAGAGGTGCCACGTCTTACCCACAGATGTCTAGTTTCATTGGTTTATCAAAACCAAATATCGAAAGCCACTACAATCTTATGATCTGATAAACCCGTTCTGACTGCCGATGTGGTACAGTGCATCCAGGGGTTGAATTTCACTTAAATGACACTTTTGCATTAATAGGAGTAGTCTGCTTCATCAGTTAATATTGCACTTCTCTGAAGTGGAAGCACACTCATCTGCTGATTTGTTTATAAGACCAAGTGTTTTAATTTGCCATTCATTAACAATCACTCTCAATCATTTAAAAAAAACTTCATTATTATCCTCTTATCCTTAAAAGCAGATAATGTACAATACATAAGTAGGAAAATGAGGCTTCAAAAGGCTAAATCACGTTACTGTATTTGTAGAGGAGCCATTGTTGGATGTCTAAACATGTTGGATGGCCTGTCTGCACACTATGCTAAACACCGCCCACAGATGAAGCCAGGTAATATGCTTGGTACTTCACTCAGTGCAAATGAACAGGGGAAACAGATGAAGGAACAAAAATAATTGCCACAACCATCTTCAGAGACTGAGTTAGGTTAAACTGTTGCGCAATGCGAACTTACAAGAAATGTTCTACTCTAAAAAAGAAGTGGTATGTGAAACTTCTTAATTTGAGTTAAAAATAGTACTCGGTTCGTTAATCTTTGTTGCAGTATCCATTACAGCTCTATTGTGAGATGGACACTATTGTGAGATAGCGATTACATTTAAATGTTTACTGTTATTAGTTCTGATTGGAGTTACTTTCCGTATTCTTGTGTTTTATTTTAGTACAGTACATCAATGTGACTAATTCAATAAGACAGGGTGACCTGGCATTCAAATATGATTTTTTCCTCTGTTTGAATCTGAAAACTCTTTGTGTAACTTATAGTGATCTGCATGGTTTGATGGAAAAAAGTAAAGATCCCACAAAAAAAAGAAAAGCTTGGGGTTCTGCAGTATAGTGTAGCATGTTATTAAGAGCCTCGTCATATGCACTTAATAGATTAAATTCACATTGAAGAATATTATTACTAGTGTTCTGTATGCATGGAATTTCATCCAAGACACCACAAATGGAAATTCCTTTGCAGCCTAGTCTCCTCACTCTTAATTATACATACACATTGCATTATTTCAAAATCTCTTTTCCACAGCTGAAAATGAGGAAGTGACCAGTTTATTAAACAGATAGATATGAACTATTAGTCAATCTGGAGTTTTACATATAGAATATCAATGATATAAGCAGTACATATTGACTTGTCGTCAGGAGGTGTTGGTGGAACTTGTTTCTTTCTGCTGAGTGCTACCAAAAAAACTAATTTCTATATAATTAAGGACACAACTCTGACCCAACCAGCGTTTTCCAGTACCCTCATAAGGTTTACACTTTTGTGATAAACGATCATCTTGGCTTATTTGTAAAAGTCTTTTGATTTTGTGAAAAGGAAAGACATTCTGAAGCATGTTGAAGCATTCTCAGTAAGTGTGTGTTGATAAGAGAGTGACACCAGTGAAGTGGTAGCGTTGTTTTATTTTTAATCACCGTTTTTGATACGGAAAACCACAACCTATGGCCTCAATGAAGACCAGCCCCCTGATTCGCCCTCTGTAAGCCTTACTGTTGCTACTCTGAGATGCTGTTCCTTACAGGAAGTTGGGTTTTGAGTGTAACGTCGGCCTACGAGCAGGAAGCCGCGACTGATGTCTCAACTGGGGACTTTTACAGCAACAAAGAAATGAGACAAACTGCTGTGTTTATGTGAGATGAATAGCTTTCTACCTTACAGAAAAAGAAGGTGAAATCTTACTTCTTCTAAGCAATAATTCTGCTTGTCATTGAAAAATCTCAAAGCATTTATTTTCTTTCTGTTGTCATGTGGAAAATGGATATCATTTGAACCTTATGGAAACTTTTCTCTTGAGGATTCATTGGCGTTGAAAATGAGTGTGGAGAAGACAGGTAGGGAATACCGGCGTTCTGTTTCGGATCCAGTCCAGAACCTGCATCATCCACCTTGTTTAAATGGCTACCTTTGGCACACAAGTAGCAGGCCGAGGCTGTGGCATCAAGCTCAGCCTGCACCTGAGAAGCCCATTGAAGGATATAAGTGGAAAACTCGCACCAGACTGAACCTTAGGACAATCAAGCGAGGCAGTTCTGAGGACAACAGCTCCTTCGAGTTGGAGGCTTTCAAAGTGGAGAAGGACCAGCACAAATTTTTAAGCACCGGGTCTTTGTCGGGGAGACCACACAACCCGACCAGAGCGATTCCCTTTCACAGGTCGGTGTCGGAGCCCGGAACACCTCATGTTATTGAGAAGCCAGCTTTATGGCAGGTGAACTCGGATGTTGAGCAGAGAAGGTATTTCCTGCAGGATTTTTTTTCCACGGTGTCGCGGCGGATGTCCAGGATTTTGAGGCACAAGGAGAACCAGGAGAATGTGATGAATGGTAGGAGTGATCTGTTAAGATTGTTTTTTAACACACATTCGAAGCTGCATTAAGTCAGGCAAAGTGACGTCTATACCAGCTTATAATATGGTTAATAGGGGGAAGAAATGGAAAGCATTGTGTACTTCTGAACAGCACTTGTGGCACGGGTGTTTCATTTCAATTGAATATGCAGTTAGTCTGGGTCTGTGAACACAGCACATGACCACAAGAACCCTGGCTTGTCTCTAAAGTAGGTCATGAACATGCAATTTTAAAATAAATTGACAAACTTGAGTAAAGGGGTCAAATGGATGGAATTTTAAAGCAAAATACTTTATTAAGTCCAAATCCAGTGTCTTTTCTACTTCTGAAGTCAATGGAAAATTATCTACCATTTTCTTTCACAAGTTTTAAGCACTTTGACGCAGCATCATATTAAGAAAAGTTTATATAGAAGAGGAGCTAGCTTTGTTTTCAGTTTTAAAATGGTTGAGAGTAATAAAATGCTGCCTACCCTCTGATAAAGAACTGTAAAGAATGTCCTGAAACACTGCTTGTTAACCAGAAAGCAGGTAAAGTAAAGTGAGCATATTGCTGTAAGGGTTAAGAAGGGAAATCGTTACTAACCACAATACCAAATCTGAAACAGACAGTGTTCACAAAATGAAATTAGTCCTTTTCTAGAGGGAGCACAGCAGGTGTTGCCTTCTCTAATATGGGTGTCAGCTGAAAAACATAAAGAAGTAAAGACTATTGAATATTTCGTAAAATGTTAGATTCAGAGGTATTTTTCCCTGACGCTGTGGTGTTTTGGCAATCCTGTATTCAATCTTTTAAACTGGTGAAGAAATATATTACTCAGGGCTGGCTGTCCATCCAGGATTTATCTACGTTCTGTGCTTACAAGAGTTATGGAGTGCAAAGCAATTTGCTTTGACACACTGCGATTACCAAGCAAGCTCAATGAGCTGAAAAGTCTCCTCTCGTTTGTAATGTTTGTTCTTGAATTTTCAGTTTCCCCATAGTGGAAGTCCCCCAGTGTTGGTGGTAATTTCAATTCAGCTTTAAGGCGAAGCAGCATCAGATATACAGGGGGCGAGGGATAAGCATGGAATTGATCCAGACCTAGACTGAACAGTATTCTTCTGCCTTCGAGCTTCCCTCATATGCTGTACTACGCTGAGATAAAGCTTGCATTGGGATTTTTGAAGTGGTGAGAAGAATATCCAGGACAACCTACGATGCTCTCAAGTCAGAAAGCTTTGTCGAAAGCCAATTTTTCTTAAGCAACATAACTTCCTTAGTCATAAGTGCATTAATCAACCCTGAAAACCTGGCAGATGCAACTCAATTTCTTTATTTACCATGTATCTGAGGCTCCTTCAGTACCACTGCCTAAGAGGGCACCATTACAGTATCACCCAGCTTGGATATGGAATTTTTTTCCTTCGCCCTTTGGATCACTGGGACCAATTCCATAGTCTGTAGCTTGAATATTTACCTAATAACCAACATTGCACATTAGGAGAAAACTGTTTTGTGGGCTTACAATGTTTAATTTTGTGTCATCTCATGGTGGTGATTTCCATTTTTGAGTATGGACCCTAAATCTACCTATCTGTGTTGAGAGGCTGTCAGGGACTCAGGCCTCTGAAGGTGAAGACTGATGCCCAGTTGATTTTGCAGCTCTTGTTCTCTGGCTGACCCTCCTGTAAAATAATCCCCCTTCCCTCATGCATTATGAAGCCATATCTGTGTGAAAATGCTATGACTTCTTTCTAGTTGGAACCAATCACAGAGCTTTCTGATGTGCCTGCTGTTGCACTAGATTAGTTAATTGCATTTTTGAACAGAAGCGCATGTGAAATTACAGAACAATAGACACAAATTATAACAAGTGAAGAATGCTGCTTCAGACTCTGTAAAGGTGAAATTAAAATAGAAGTAAAATAATGGGTTCTGATCAGAATGGGACTGTTATATTGTACAGGTATCGCTAGGTTAAAGGTAATAAAGGCAACTATTATAAATCTTTTCTCGTTGGGCAGTTCCATTTTTCATTTCTAAAGTTAATTGGAATGATGCTTATACATGCAAATGTCATGTGAAATTCAGCGGTTGAACACTCCTTGGACTTGATGTTAAAAAGCAGGAGTTCTATCTACTGCTCGATAGAAGAGGATTAAGGCACATTGCTGTTGCATCCTGTTACTTAAGAGAGTCCTATAGAGGTGACAGCAGTATTGCCACCTTCTGATCCCTGTTCAGAAGCTAGGCCTGGTCTGTCCTTGGACGGTAGACCTCTAACCTGTATCACCCTGCAACTCTCAACTGGCAGCCCACTGAAGCTCAGCAGGTGTGAGCCTGGCCAGTACCTGGGTGGGAGATCTCCTGGGAAGGCTAAGGTTACTGCTGGAAGAGGTGTTAGTGGGACCAGTAAGCAATGCTCACCCTGTGGCCTATGTGGGTCCTAATGCCCCAGTATAGTGACAGGGGCACTAAACAGTAAAAACAAAAAGGCGCTGTCCTTTGGATGAGATGTACAACTGAGGTCTTGACACTCTGTGGTACTTAATAATCCCAGTAGCTGTTCTTGAAAAGAAGTAGGGGTATTAACCTCCGTTGTCCTGGCCAAATTCACACAGGCCTTCACCAGTCAAGGCCTCCTAATAATCACTCTATTCTCCTCCCTGCTATCAGATGTGTGGTGAGTGTGGAGGAGAGTGGAATAGTGGAGTCCAGTGTCCTGTGGTGGATGATGTAGATCCCATTCAACACGTGAAGCAGTTTGGAATTCCTGGGAATGAAGTGTTCTATACTAGAGCAAGGAATTTGTTATTAATGTGCAGAGGCCAAAGCACGTGACAAGCAAATCCCCAGTATTGCGACTTCTTTCTCATACTTTAAGAAGGCACATTGCAAAGGCCCAGAAAAGTAGCTCATTCAAGTATGTGGTGTTTATCTAGGATTATGAGGTTGTGTTTGCAAAGCTGCACTTAAATCCTAAAGATGATGAAAGGGAAAATAGTGCCGGATGTACACAGATGGGGAAAATGGGCCAGAGTGGAACAAAACCAACAGCAAAATACTCAGAGGAGTGGAAATAAGTTCTGGTGATACAAAACGTTTACTAGAAGTCTGGAAATATTTTTAGCTGTTCTCCTAGTCTGGCACTTAACAAAAGCTAAAGTTAGACGGTTTTGCTTTTGTACGTTTGCAGACATGGCAAAATTGTTTTGTGAATTAAACTTGTGTGAAAAGCTGACAGAAACAGTATACAGCATTTAATTTCAACACCTCCTATGTCGACACGCTGTGTGAGGGCTGACTCATACTGTTTGCTTTATGCCCTCATGTTTCAATTCAAATTTGATTTCTTTTCAGTGTAAGCACTGTGGAGCTGGGGGTGTTTGAGATGGCAATTTGGAATTCACCAGTTTAAAATGAAAATGTATTAAGTTTGCAAACCCACATTGCTGAGAGGCAGAACTGGCTATGGCATTTTGGAAGTTTTCTCACAGGAAATTGGAGGATATTCTGTAGTATTGAATGTGCATGTACTTGAAAATATTTTTTTCTTAAATGAGTTTTGTCACGTAAAATTAATTAAATCATATCTTATTTCTCTGTTTAAACAAATCAAATTCAAAGAAAATCTTTTTGCTTTTGTTAGTAGTAGAACTGATGATATAGAAGAGAAAAACTTCTGAGTAATGTGGTATTTGTTTACACATTTGTATTTTGAACTAGTTTTTAGAGAGTTTAATGAAAACATAAAAAAACTTCATTTATAGTGAAATGAAAACATGAAAGAAATATTTTGTCAGTGTAATATTGTTCTTTTTACATTGTAGTTGGCATTATTTACTCAGTTTTTTGTATATAAAACTCCTTGATGACTCTTGAATGGTGATTCAAAACATGTGAAAGACGTTTAACCACATTCCTCTCAATATGAATATTTCATTTTTGCTCTATTTGGTGTCAAGTGTGTCTGCTTTATTTCCTAGTATAGACCATTGAAATGATGAAGGTCTGTGCACTAGTATGCTTAATTCCTGAAGCATGTACCAAAAGGTTACACTGCTGAGGTTGTTGTGAAGTTGTGAAATGAACTAATTTGTATTTTAAATGTTTGAGAGCTAGTGCACATGCATAAATGTAGCTCAAAGGAAAATTCCTTTCAGAATGAGCTGTTAACTTGATTGCAGAAGTTTGCCTACAGGTTGACAAAGCATTCGCTGATCAGTTTATAGGAACCAGCTAGGTTAAAGGGAGCAAGTTCTGAACTGCAACTTGCACACATGCTGAGCAAATTCAGTAGATCCCTTTTGTAGGCAAATATAAATGCAAATGGACATTCTGTGTGTGCGACACGAAGAAGCTTATAATGACGCAGGCAGTTAAATTAACCTTTCACTTGCTGGGCTGTTCTCTTCAAAGTAAACCTCATGCCTGTCACCGTGATATTATAAGATCACTTTATTGGCCATATAGAATTTCTCGTATTGGGAATTTGTCAGGAGGGCCGCCCTCTCAGAATGCGTCTCCCTCCTGCTCAGCCTGCGAGAGAGAGGAGCAGTCATCAGTGGTTGGGAGCAGCTGCCGTGAAGCAACACCCCTGACCTGCTTCGTGCTCAGGAGGAGACACTATGGATTCTCCTCGTGGCTGAATAGACCAAACGCTTTCGAAACGCATTTCTCATGTCACAAACTATAGAAGTGATCCTTGAACGTATAGTCTAGTTCTTTTAAAGTGGATGTCCCTTTTTGAAAGCACAGGTGAACGGTGTTCTAGGAATGGTCAGCAGATTTCACCGTCACCACTTGATCATCAAGTTTAATTTTTGTTTCTTCTTGAACGAATCGGTTGAATCTCAGGCATCCTGAGAAGGCTTCATGTTTCAGATATTTAAGATGAATACCATGTTAAATGTTATTTTAGTGTGAAGAGAGTTTGTTAGTCTGATTTTATATATAAGAATGGTTATCTCCTATCAGAACTGTGAATACAGATT